TTAGCATTTACGTTAAGTAATTAATTAATTTAAATTTAGTTAAATTCAATTAAAGGCTTCTTTTATTATTGTTGCTGATTGGTGATGTTACGGAAATTTTGTATTTTAGTTAATAAATTTGGATTTATATTAAAAAAAAATGCAGAATAAATCATTTGATATTAATATATTATACATTTTACATGAACATAACCAGAGAATATATTTTTTTGTACTAATTAATATTATATATTAACATTATCTGTATAAAAGAAAAATACATGTACGAATATACTATATTGCGGAAATTGACACTATTTTTTTTTACATGCCATTGTGTAGTAATATTATCCAATTATTTACCATACTAGTATCTCACACGTCCGATGCACGAGGATCAATTATATGATCAAAATGAATTAAATCAACGAACTAAAACATATCGATGATGTAAATCGAATACCTGATCTATAAATCCCTATATGAATTAAAAAGGATGTTAACTTTAATGTTAATGCTAATGCAAATACTAATATGCATATGCTAATGCTAAGTAATATGCTAATGATAATCCTAATATTGACGCTATTAATGATACTAATACTAATGTTAATTAATATTAATGTTAATATAGTAATACTAATACTAATACTAATACTAATAATATTAATGTTAATACTAATATTAATACTAATACTAATACTAATAATACTAATACTAATGCTAATACTAATACTAATGCTAATACTAATACTAATGCTAATACTAACACTAATACTAATATCTTTATATATATAAAAAAGGAACGCTAGGGCAACTTATGAAATCCTAATGACATTTTTGCAATTATTAATTTTTAATATTTTTCTTTAACTTTCTAACTATATTTTTCAATCATCATCAAAATTGAAACATAATCGGGTAGAATCCCTACAACATCAATCTCCTTGAATTCGTAACGTTATAAAGAGATAATCGTTTCCATATTATTATTTTTTCTCGGGATGAAATACTACTAGTATTACAAATTTTGCAATAGTACTGTTTATTGTTATTATGGATGCCAATTTGCAAAAGAATGAAATTAACTTTTTATCTAAAAGAAAAGATTAAGCGGTGGAAATGCTAAAAATAGATTTAAAAATTACAATAAATTATTTAGGGTTGGGCAAGCGTCGGATCGGTCAATTATCGACCAATTACCACCGCAAACCAACTGCATCTTCCAGTGGTATAGGAATTTGGGGAAAATTGTTTTGAAATAAGTATTGCGTAAAAGAGAAATTGGTTATAGTAATATACTAATATTTCTACTAAATGTTGGGAAAGTTTTGAGAATTCAACTTTAGCCTCTTGAATTATACTTATTACAGATATAGTCCACCAATTTTTGCCTTAGCGATTATATGATGTTTAATGATGCCAAACCCTAATTGAATGTCACAAATATTGCAATAGTACTTTTAATTGTTATTATGAATGTCAATTTGTGATAAATTAAATTAACTTTTTATTTCTAGCTAAAAGAAAAGATTTGGCGGTCGAGACGGGCATTTTTTTTAAATCAAATGTTAAAAATAGATTTAAAAATTATAATAAGTTATTATAGGTTATGCATGTGTCGGGTCGGACAATTATCGGCCAATTACCTATTTGATCGGACCAACCAATTTGGCAAAATATTGAAAATTATTACTGACCTGACTATTATGGGTCAGATAATGGTTGACAACCAACTTTGTCGAGTAAATAATTGGTCGGTTGGTTGGCATTATCGGTCATCTGTTTATTAACTTTTTTTTTTTTTTTTTTTTTACAATGATAAGATATGTTAGATACTCAAAATTTTCGAAAACCTTTTATGTTGCAAAAATCTTAACTAAATTAAAAGTTTTTTTTTTAATTAAACTTCTACGGTAAATAAATATATAATAAATAATATGAAATAAGAATTATAAAATAGAAATAATACATAGAGGTTTATAAACTTGTATTTTTAGTTTTTGAGTTTTGACTTATTTTATGTATTTTCTTAACATTAAGATAATAAAAATTACAATTAAATATTTATAATATTTTTTATTATTAAAAAAGTCGGTTGACCGATATTACCAAACCAACCGACTAAATTGAACACCACCCACCGACCTATTTATATATGGATGGGTTAAAATTACCGCCCGACAAAAAAAATTATCGGCTAAAAAAAATGAATTAATTGGCCAATAAAACCGACCCATGCCCATCCCTAAAGTTACTACATATATATTGAAATTGTATATAATAATTTACAAATATAATATTACAATAAAAAAAATGTTATATCAATATTACAACAATCCCCTTAAAAACCATTAAATTTGCAAAAGGTGAAAAAGTGCAAAAAAAAAAAAAAAAAAAAAAAATCCAATTTTAGTGGTTAAAGTGTAAATTCTGAATATACCTCGTTATTTTAATAGAAATCATAAAATATAGGGACTAAGTTGAAACATTTGAAAACTTAAACTGAAATCAGAACTAATATAAAAATGTCGGCGTCACCAGCCCTAAATTCAATTTCCGCCGCCACGAAGAACACAGTTACACCACGAACACCGCCAGAAGCCGTTCGACCCCATTCCGTCGGATAAATCGCCGCCGCGGTGCGCGTGAACCGCATATATCCCCGTTCCGGCTGATAAATCGCTTGTTTCAGGCCGGAACTCTATCGCGGTGGCCTCCGCTCCGGTTCCAGTAACCCCCGTTCCGGCCTCTGTAGCGGCGTTCCTTCGGTGAACCATGTATATATCGCCAGTTCACATTTGCTTCTAATAAAATTATTGTTATATTCCTTTTTTATTTTTGAAGTTTGCTGCATAAGCTTATAATGTAATATTCGTGTACCATTCATTTATTTATTCAGGGTTGTTTGAATTGCCAAGAGAAGAGAGAGAGAGAGAGTAGAAAGGAGAGAGAATGGTATTATCAAACAAGAAGCTGAAGCAAAAGCTTAGAGCTGCTAAAGCTGAATTAATTGTTACATCAGAAGCTGGGAATAAAGCTGACAAAATTCCCGAGGGTTTGAAGACGACGGTTCCGAATCCAATAGCGCGAAAACCCAAATTATCTAAACGTGAAATACTAATACAGGAAGCCAATGGAGAGATTATCGAAAAGGAAGAAATGATTGACGATGCCAATGAAAAGGAAGAAAATGTGGAGGTGGAGACGAAGATGAAGAAAAGGAAGAGAGATGAAAGTGAGGCATTGGTGGAGAAGAAACCAAAGCAGTTGAAGAAAAAGAAGAAGACGAAGAAAAAGAAGAAAGCAAAGAAGAATGTGGGAGATGGAAAAGTCAACGAGGAAGGGGTCGACCAGAATGGGAGGAGTGGAGCTATTACAGAGCAAATTGTTGCAAAAAAAGTTGAGACCATTGTGAGGTACACGTTGCTCCAAAATGATAATTCGAAATGAACATTCTTGCTAATTTATCGTATTTTTGTGCGGCCTCGATTTTTGTTGTTCAAGTATGGTGAGACGTATGTTGTTCTCTATTGTGTGGCTCATATACTTGGACTGCATTGCAGTACATAAAGCGTTGAACCAAACGCATGTCGTCAATTCAAATCCCGGTAGTAGAGTTGAGAACCTTAGGAATGGAAAGCAATGTTATTCTTTTTTGTTTCGGAATTTTGTTTTTTTGTCCTGTGAATGCCGAAAGCAGTTATTATCACCTGCTATGCTGATTTGGATGCCATGTTGATTTGTTGCTTATGTGGCAGCTGACATGGAAATTTTGAAATTTGATAAATTTGTTTCGTCGTATTATATACACGGCCTATTTGGCAGTTGGGACGTTTAGCCTTTTAACTTCTAAAAGAAAATCAAGATTTAATTCTCTCTCAACTCATAATAATGAACTTTAGTCTTGTTATTTCTTTATGAAAATTATAGATACACGTATGTGATCGGAACTATCTTATTTGTTTCAGTTACATGGAAGATGTGTTAGTCTTAGGTTTCGGTATTAAGTTTTGCTGGACAAATCGTTCTTCATATTTCTGGGAAACTGAGAATACATTTGTGATATCTCTGTATAGATCTCAAGAATTGCGATCATAATATTATCTTCCTTTTTGGTACAGAAAACCCGTTGAGATATCTTCTTCGAGAATATATGTTGGAGGCATTCCTTACTACTCGACCGAGGATGATATTAGGAGTTTCTTCGAAGGCTGTGGTACAATTACCTCTATTGACTGTATGACTTTTCCGGATACTGGAAAGTTCCGAGGAATTGCCATGATCACTTTCAAGGTAATTTATTATGAATTTTGAGAGTTATTGTTTTGGTTATCCAGTTTATGTTATTATATCTTGTTGTATCTATAGATTATTAATACAGAATGAAATTTGATGTATTATTATTTTTTTTACTCTTCAAATTTATGTTATTATACTCTCTTGAAAAGGATTTGCGGACACTTGCTAAAGTCTCGTGTTTCTAAGAAACTTCCTTTTCGGATTTCTGACAAAGATTGTTACAGTCCTTGGTCAAATGCCTTTTTTACGTAGCACTATTTTGATTTTGAATTTCTAATTTGTTTTTTTGATTATTTTTGTCCCTCTCTCTCTCTTTTAGACCGAAGAAGCATCTAAAAGAGCGTTGGCACTTGATGGCTCCGACATGTAAGCTTCTATTAACGTAAACTTAACCCTGCATAACTTGAATTTTACTCATTTTTTTTTCAAATTTTTTTTTTTGCAGGGGTGGTTTATTCTTGAAAGTCCAACCGTTCAAATCGGCTAGTAGAGTAAACAAATCATCCAACTTCTCCCCATCTGTAACGGCGGGCTACAACAGAATCTACATTGGTAATTTATCATGGGATGTAACCGAAGATGATTTAAAGAAACTCTTCACCGACTGCACAATTTCCTCTATTCGATTCGGCCAAGACAAAGAGTCGGGCGAATTCAAAGGATATGCCCACGTGGATTTTTCCGACAGCCTTTCTCTCAACATAGCACTGAAACTCGATCAAACGATACTCCATGGTCGGCCTGTCAGGATAAGCTGCGCTGTGCCCAAGAAAGCCAACTCCACCTCATCAGAAAAACCCGTCTCCAAAAATGACCAAATCGACCCTGTTGTCGTCACTGTAGTACCAGCCGATGAAAATCAAGATAATAATAATAATAATAATAATAATAATACTAGCAGTGGGGCCCACTCAAAGATACAGGGGCGGTCGTGTTACGAGTGTGGAGAGTATGGCCACCTTTCATTATCATGCCCAAATAAAAAACCCGATCTTTCATCTTCTTGGCCGAAGAGAAAACAAACCGATGAAGATTTTACAAATTTAGAAGCGAATAATGAAATGAGCTCAAAAATTCGGAGAAGGTCTTGTTATGAATGTGGAGAGAAAGGTCATCTTTCTTCAGCATGCCCTAATATTAATAATAATAAAAAAGCCGATCTTTCATTATCCGTACCGGAGAAGAAACAAGCCTATGATTATACAGAACAGGCGTACTATGAAAATCCAGTTACTAGCACTGACGCAAGTGCTCTCAGTGCAAAGATAAGGAGGAGATCGTGTTACGAGTGTGGAGAGAAGGGGCATCTTTCTTCAGCATGCCCCAAGATTCTTTCAGCATCTTTGCCTGAGAAGCAAGCTGACGTGTCATCATCTGGTTGGCCCAAGAAACAAGCTGATGATTATTCGGCTAGTGCAGGTGCAGTTGATGAAACTGGTGGTGTCAGTTCGAAGATACGGAGGAGATCGTGTTACGAATGCGGAGAGAAAGGGCATCTTTCTTCAGCATGCCCCAAGATTCTTTCAGCATCTTTACCTGAGAAACAAGCTGATGTGGCATCATCTGGTTGGCCAAAGAAACAAGCTGATGATTATCCGGCTAGTGCAGGTGCAGTTGATGATACTGGTGGTGTCAGTTCGAAGATAAGGAGGAGATCGTGTTACGAGTGTGGAGAGAAAGGGCATCTTTCCTCAGCATGCCCCAAGATTCTTTCAGCTTCTTTACCCGAGAAGCAAGCTGACGTGGCACCATCTTATTGGCCGGAGAAACAAGCTGATGTGGCACCATCTTATCGGCCGGAGAAACAAGCTGATGATTATTCAGCTAATTCAGGTGCAGCGAATGGAAGTGCCGTCAGTTCGAAGATACGGAGAAGGTCGTGTTACGAGTGTGGAGAGAAAGGCCATCTTTCTTCAGCATGCCCGAAGATGCAGCAAAGCTGATGATTTCGACAAAATCCAGGTGTGGTTTTTAAATTTTGTGATAGACGTTAATTTATACGTTTAATTTTTGGCTAGTGAAATGATAATTATTTAAAATCCTAAATCCCATGAAGAGGTGTCGATTATCAATTCTTTCGTTTATCGTTCTAGTTCGATCGGGTAAGTTTTGATTTTTGATAGAGAAATCGAAACTGTTGGATGCCGTATTTCTTAAAAGAACTCTCCTTTTTTTTCTTTGTATTTTTTTACCATGAATTTTGTGTTGTCCTCAAATATTCAAGATCTAGAGACTACTAATTCCAGTGTCCTTTTAGGATGGCTTTAGTTTGTAAGCGACCATTGATTCAATTTAATTCATGTTAAGTTATTGTGTGCTAGAAATCGGGGCGGAAATCGGATGGATCGAATTGAAACACATAGGTTTTCTGAAGTGACAAATCGATACGAATTCCGATTCAGAAAATTATGGGAACTGAAAATTCGTTCCAATTTTTGAATTTTCAAAAACTTTGAAATATTTGGAAATCATTGAATTACTTTATATTCAGAAATGTATGCGTGCTAAATTTATCGTTGAATAATTATTTGCCTTTCTTCACGAAAGGATACAAGTATTTGTATGTAGTTGAAAACATAAATTAGGTCATTTTTAGTAAAACTTGATAAATACTAGATTTTGGCTCCTCAAAATTTGGTAAATATTAATTTTGGCCCTTGTAATTTATATATATTTTTACATATTTATCATTGCATAATAAAATATTATGGTTAAAACTTATACTGTTTTAAATAAAATCTGTAAATATTTACTTATTTTTGCATTTCTTTTTACGAATTATCCTATAAAAGAAAATCAATGGCGATGCTCGCAATTTTTTTTATTTACTCGTTGTTGTACCATTTCGGAAAAAAGAAAATCGTGTCGACTTATAAAATGTCCTAGCTCCGACCCTGCATAGATATAGTAGTATACACTATCAAATTTTCCATGCAACATTTAACGACATGTCGATAGACCTAGGGATGAAAATAAATTGAGCCATTTCACGAGTCTAATGTGCCAACTCGAGAAACACTAGAGTCCATTTTTAATTATTCATAAGTTTATGGGCCAAATTGCGAGTTTTCTTTTGCTCGTAAGCTCGACAAATTTCAACTCGTGGGAATGTTTTGTTGAATTATTTTTTGTTTTCTAGTAAAGATTAATTTAGATGTAAAAATTTGCGATTAAATGAATCATGATTAACACAAGAAAAACGTGCCTATTTCCCGTTTAGGTCGTGACAAACACATGGGCTGCAGTTGTACTAGATTACTCTTTTTTCGACAGCCACTTCATTTGTTCAAACGTTGAACTTCAAATGAGTACTACATAAGTTTGTTTTTCAACAAATATTGTCTACCCTAAAAAATGATATAGCTCCATTCATATCAAACGTTGGGCACTATAACATTTAATACATTAGTATCTATTAAAGATTATTTTAAATGTGAATTATTTCAAAAAACTAATGAAGTATGACTATTGATTTTTGGAAATATTAGCAAGACACCCATTAGCAAGACACCCTCATTGACAAATTCATGTAAGAGGGGACCTTCCTTTTTTTTTTTTTTTTTTTGTTAAATTACAACCAGCCCTGAGGTATGGTCAAATTACGAAAGACTCCCTCTTGTTTGAGTAATTATAATCACCCCCAACTATAAATCTTCTTACACGTTCACCCTTACAGTTTTAAATTTAGAGGAATCTTCTAGATTATATGTAATATTTATCACTTTTGTACCCGTTTTATCCCATTCAAGCTCCACATTTTGAAGCAAAATGATTATAAAATGTGTTTTTTTGCTTGTACATATCAAATTTTGGTGCATCAGAAACTGTATTTATACACAAAACGAGTACATACTAGAGCACATTCTACGGAATCTAAATGATTATGTTGAATTTGACATCATAAGGGTGGAGGTGTAAGAAGATTTATAATTGAGGGGTAGATGTAATTATCCAAACAATTTTTTTTCGTAATTTGACTATACCTCAGAGGGTGGTTGTAATTTACCCTTTTCTTTTCTTTAATTTGAGAAAATTTATTTTGTTGTTAGATTGGATGATTAATAAAAGTAAATTAGGTCGGTGTTTTTGAGGAAAAAAGACGTCAGCGCCCTAATTCGACTACTGTAACGTTGTAGGAAGAACAACGGTAACCAGAGAAGACGATTCTTGCGGAGGTGGCAACGACGATGAGGGCGATAAGCAGCGAACTAGGGCAGTTTCATTATGGAATAAGGTGGTTTCCAAATTAATCGAATCTCATCTAATCAAAACTAATCCGATATAGGTAATCGAAGGAGTCCGGTATGACTTTAAAGTACGAATAACTAAAATTCAAATACGGGTTCAAATAAATAACGTTGAAAGAGAAAAAAGGAAAAAAAGAAAAAAAAAAAAAGAAAAAGAAAAAGAAAAGCTTAAAGTTGGAGTGAATTGTAATAAGACCAAAAAGGACAAACACAAGACTTTCTCCAACACACACACACAGACAGAGCCACCGTCGCTGTTCCTCACTGCACACACACACACGCGTCCCCTCTCTCTCTCTCTCCTCATTTTCTCTCTCTAGATTTCAAAGCCGCCGACTCACAAAACCCACTCTTCGTCAATTCGCCGGAACAGATTTTCAACGGCGGAGTTTCCTGGAAAAAGCCACAACACGAATGCAACGCTCAATCACCCAACTCCGGCAGCTAGATTTTGCCTTCAATCAAAAATTCAACAAATCAATTTTCTCAGAACCCCATTTCAGTAAAATCAGAAATTTCATTCTCTTCCTTAATCTTCAATTGCGAATTCTGGAAGCTGTACTTTGTCAATCATCTCGCTTTTCTAAATTACAGACCTCAATTTCCCCCAGAAAATCAATCCAATTAGTACCCTAAAAAAATCATGAAAGATTCCACAGTTTCCGGCGACTCTTCCCCTGCGAAGAAGAAGAGAAATCTCCCTGGAATGCCCGGTAAGGAAAAAAAAAATATCCCCAATTTGCTGAAAATTTTGCAATTTTATTCGTGGATTTTTCGTTTAATTTGATTAAATTTAATATTTATTTATGGGATCAGATCCTGAAGCTGAGGTAATTGCTTTATCCCCAAAGACGCTGTTAACAACAAACAGATTTGTTTGCGAAGTGTGCAACAAGGGTTTTCAGAGGGACCAGAATTTGCAGCTCCACAGAAGGGGCCACAATCTGCCATGGAAGCTTCGGCAGAGGTCTAACGAAGATATCAAGAAAAGGGTTTACGTTTG